GTTCCTGATAACTTTACTACTAAAGTAGACACACTGTAACAAGCAGGCAACTTATTTCTCTCAGATCATGCACAAAATGCAAATTTAAGGTGAAAGACATACCTGTTTGTGTGACAAAGTTAAACTGTGAAGGCTCAAGGAATTGTTTGCAAAAACCAGTTTGGAATTTCAAAAAGGAAATTAAGGTCTTTTGGGAACAAAGCCCTGAGCATGCTTGGTGTATATGGCTATGTTGATAGGACAAATTATCATACACGCATGCTGCCATTCCTGATTATCATCGGATGTGCACCAGTTTCGGTAAATGGATCGAGCTGGCTCATTACAGGTTGAATAACTTGAGAGAAACTTCATCTCAAATATAGCTAGACTTCTATAAAACACAACATAAAGCAATCTGTCTGGAGTGATCATAACTTGATGTTGTAAGGTGTGGCCACTAGCCTAGAGTCTCATGATATGGCAAGTTCTATCTTTTCAAACTGTACAGCCTGGGAAGTGAGACTTTCTCAGGTAACTAGCAACCACAAAATTAATGCCAGGAATCTGCAACCTTTCATTCCTTATGAAGCATGACATGATGTGATTATCAACTTCTTCAAAATCAGTCAACATGCTTAATATGCTATTGACATGTGGATTAATAGGTTATAAAAGTTTTCCACCAAAGAATGCATGTGTGTACGGTATGTAACAAGAAAATGATATGGAAGTTTAGAACTTCAGAATGCAGAACCGTTCTGACCATTCCAAGACACATAACTCATGCAAACTACTCAATATTTCATCTTCAGAATTACATGTACATGCACAGTGTATCATATTAGTACAGAAAGTCTAAATCAGAAATATTTCAGTGCTAGTGTCTCAAAATGACACAATATGTACAGAGTACAGATGAGCACCTTTTATTGATGTGAAATTCATTATGTCCTTTGCTAACAAAGAGAACTGTACTTCTTTCTTTTTTGTCAAATGCCATTTTGGAGCCTTTTATTTCAACATATACAAAAATGTACAACTGGTTTCAAAATAAAAAGCACAATAACGGTACATATTTGTATATACATATAATAAATAAGCTCATTATAACAACTAAACCATTAGAATTAAGCCCACTTCAGTATACATACAGTGTACATGTACGACAAAAGTGTATACCACAAGAGTACATTTGTAGTTTTATATTTAGTATGACGGCAAAACTCACACTTGTTTGATTAAAACTTGAAATGTAACATTCTCTTAACTTTTTCTGTGATTTAACAATGTGTCAGGATCACATTTCCTTAAAGATACCCCCCCCCAGAGCAACGTAACATAGAAGACATTTGTTTTAATATCTACAATAAAAACCTATAAAATGTGTCGGCATATTGATACTCCACAACTTGCTCAGTCAACACAAGTAATAATGGTCAGCCTCTTCCAATAACTTATATCCCTCCTTGAAAAATCCCACATTAATCAAACACTTCAGTGCATATTTAACATCAATGAAATTTAAGCATATCCCATCCAACACATACAGGAAACTGGTTAAATTAAATTGATGAATCTAAGTACATGTACATCGTAGCAACCAACACAAAAAACAGAAAATGTTTGTGTTCCAAAACATCTGTTGCTAGTCCGCATTTCTCATCAAACAAACTGATTAAAATCATTACTTAGACCACATACAGCAACTTGAAGTTATTTTTCTCCTCTACAGTTTCAATGATATGCTTCCCAAATTCTTCATGTTTGCGTGTAGCTGTGTTGTCTTCACTGCTCACTGAGTGATGATTAAGGCTTATTACATGTACATGCTGTTGTCTGTTGGAGAAGCAAATCATATTCTATTCTGCAGTTGCCAGCGTGGCAAATTGGAAAACCAAACCATTTGAGTTGCACAAAATTCAATGCTGACACGTATAAGGTAGAAAAATAAAGCTTGCTTTTCTTCTCCATAATTAATCATACAACTATTATTTACAATTATTACAAAAATAGAGAACTCTTTTGTCTATCTATGCTTGAGCAGTTTAGTATCCTTCCATCACTGTTGAGGAATATTCAAATTTCATGTGATTTCAACAGTTATACTCAAGTTACTGGCATACACTGGTAGGATGTTTCATCATTCTCAGATTACAGGCCTAATTGCCAGAAATAATGCATTCCCATCATCTCTCTCTATACTCCTTTGCAAGTGACTGGCCTTAGCCAATTAACTGTAAGACTTGAGGAAACTACAGCACTGCCTACATGACACATTATGGCTGCAAACAATTTCATTGAGCCTCCTTGATGAAAGCTGATAAGTGATTTAACAGTAATAATAATTAAAAACAAGAACTTCCAATAGGACTGCCTCAATGGGCCATTTTTACAAAGTCAAAGAAAACCATGCAATTCCATCTTGCAACAAGTATTTCTTCAAATTGAGGATCAAGTTCCATTTTTAATTGTGAGGGTTATACATGCATTGTAATGCTTTAATTTGATGAGGAGATACTTCCAGTCAGTGGTTAAAGGTTGCAAACAATGACAAGTCTAGTGGGGTTGTCAAATGCACTTAGCCAATGGAATGGAAGCGTGATGGCTCTTTAGGTGAGTGGATGTCACCGTCTGATTAAAGGGCTTTTTTCCAAGTCTTCAAACTTTACTAGTATTGCAAAATTCTTTTTCTTTGTTTTAAGAGATCCAGTTTAGATTGTATAAACTCCCTTCTTTGTATTGAGAGATCCAGTGGAGATCCTGACCAGAGTTTTTGTTGGACTTAGTCTCACATACAGTGCCACTTAACTTCTGGTTAATCCTTTGTCATTACATTGAATAAGCTTTTAATCCAATGAGT